CTCAGTGGTTAAGCGCTGGCCCTGGGACTGAAGGGTCCTGGGTTTGATTCCGGTCAAGGGCACATACCTTGGTTGCAGGATAGATCCCCTACCCTACTTGGGGCCCTGGTGGGAGGCAACCAATCGATGTGTCTCTCTCACATTGATGTTTCTCTCTCTCTTTCCCGTCCTCCCTTCCACTCTCACTAAAAATCAGTGGGCAAAAACAATCCTCAGGTGTCTCAGCTGAATACTTGGGGTGTTCAGTAAGGTCCGCACTCTTCGGGGCTGGAGGCCATGTCTCTGGCAGCGGCCCTGGTAACTGTTGCTCTCTGGCCTGTAGCAGCAGCCTCCGCTGGGCCCTGGGTAACTCCCACACAACCTGTCACCCTCACCCCTGCATTGCTCTCATCTGTACCCTCAAAGTCCCAGCCACTTCCACAGCCCTGAATTCTGGGGCCCATCAGTGCAGCAGAACCGCCTGCACACTGTCCTCAGCCCCCGCCTGGCAGGACCCTGTCCTAAGGCAGATGGGCCCAGGAACCCATTTCATAATTATATTCTTTCCCTCAAGAGCTGCAGTGCCTAGGTGCCTGTTGTCCACAGTCTGGAAACAACTGCTGCCACCATTTCGTCCAGTTTCCTGGTTATTTAAGGAGGGAGGTCAGAAATGCAGGTCTCCCCTTCCCTCAGCCCATCTTGATCTGAATGCCTTTTCACACCCAAACCAAACATCACTAGCCACCTGCTGGTAGTCACCAGCATTTACTTTTCCGAGTCACTTCTCCATTCATTAAGAATCTGACTTTGGACAACCACTTCAAAAATACAACTAAAAGACAAAACGGACATCATCCAGAACCATAGGAAGGCTGGCTGAGTGGAAATTCTACAACTAGAAGGAAAGAGAAAAGCACACTGAGACTCAGAGGAGGTACGGAAGTAAAGTGCAGAGGTACGGAGGTGCACGTGGAAAGGGCTGGCAACTGAGGACACGGTTGTCTTTTTCAATCAGGAGGGAGTCTCAAGCTCCCGACTGCTCTGAACTCCAGTTCTGGGCAAGTCTCTGGGGACCCAGACTCATACGAGGAGAAAATGGACCGTCTGGCATCGGTTGGAACTTGAGGGCGGCTTTCTCTCAGAGGTGCTTGCAGCGATTACCACGGGACACTGAGACCTGGGACCTCTTAGGGCAGGGCTGAGGATCAGCCATAGCTGTTTGCTCCGCCCTGTTGATTCCCTGAGACCCCACCCCACCCAAGCTGTGCACAGAGGCTTTTGCATATGAA